ACGAAGGTCCGACATGGTCCACCCCGAGAACTACTGATCTAACCAGCATGAGACTATCTGTGCAAAGAGGACAACCGAAACCTTACTTTCCACTCCATGAATAGTTTTGGTTTATATTAGTTTATCAGGATCATCAAGGTCTAACCTTCTAAATCGCCAGAGAAAAGTAGGTTCGAGTGGACTTTCAGTGCATGTAAATCATTATTCAGTTATCCTTGTGATTAGTACTCATTCAGCGACACTTTCTCACCTGTCTGTCTACACTGCGGACTGTAGCAGTTGTTGTACTTGCCGTACAAGTTCAAAACGGGATATGACGTGCCCACCTGTTCAACAGGGGCTATATGCATATCCTCGTTTTACATTTCCATGATGATACATCCCCAAATGGATCGGCTAAGAAAGCCGTGAGTAAATGTTTTGAGTCGTAAAATTCCTCTTCGAAGTTACGCTCATCAATTCCAAAGCATTTTTAAGCCAGTAGTTGAAATTATCCGAAGTGATATAGTGCTGTTCTGTGCGAAATGGCTCGGTTTTCTCAAAATACTATCTGGTCATTGGCAAAATATTCGCATTGGTAAATAAAACTGATAATAAGGGGCAGCTCATCTGAGCATCTCGTTTATGATATCTTCAACTTGCATAGAGGCTGTTTCTTGTTTCTGTTGGCGCGTCATTTGAGTTATCGCCGTAAATTATAAAAAAACAATACTCACCAGGTTTTTGAAGAGATTTCAGTAAACCTAATACGGCTGCGCATCAGCCTACTGCGCACCGGAACAATCATGTCAAACGGCCGTGCGATTACGCCTGAACGTCTGAATCACGTCCGATCTCATCATGTGCCGGAGAAAGGTCAAATAAGGACACAGAAAGTTCACACCCACTCCGTGGCCAAGGCATCCCGTACACAGGCGCACAGACGGCCATCTATGATCAACCGAGACAGAGGAACAACAGCCCGAACACCGGTGTGGGTGTGTGGGAGACAAACTGGTTGGTTGACAGCGGATCGACCGTCAAATGCGGTGACAGTCTCAATCAGATATGAGCAGGAAAAAAAACAACTGAGGGAGAATAAATATTTCAAGTGGTCTCATGGCTTGCTAACTGGATAATCCTTTTGGTTGTTCCAC